CTTTTTTTTTTTTTTAAACTGAACTATTCTTTCCTTAAAATGTTATGGAATATTATCCCAAGGAGTATTTTGTTCATTGCAAGTCTAGGTGTTTTCCTTCCTGTGCTCTCCTGAGGATCTCCTCTCTGTTTATCTCTGTCTTGGGCCTCTCTTGCCTCTTTGTCTTTGAGTAGCTAGAACCTCAACCATCGGTGAAGTTCACGAGATTCAACCTAATAAAAGATTCAAAAACAGTCTGAAATGAAACGACTAGAGGGAACAGAGTGACAGGCTGAATCGTGGGCACCTGGATTGAGTCAGGCAGGACACCTGGCTTCTAGGCCCTGGACCATTTTATGATCTTGACCAAATTCACTGTTTCTCTGGGTATTGTTTCCTCACCTTCACAAGGAGAAGTTGCACCAGGCAGGCTCTTAGTTTTGAGGATCTTGACTATATTTTAAATCTTTTTTTTTTTTTTTTTTTTTTTTACTTGTTGACCGTTTGCTTTATTTATTTATTTATGGCTGTGTTAGGTCTTCGTTTCTGTGCGAGGGCTTTCTCTAGTTGTGGCAAGCGGGGGCCACTCTTCATCGCGGTGCGCGGGCCTCTCACTCTCGCGGCCTCTCTTGTTGCGGAGCACAGGCTCCAGACGCACAGGCTCCAGACGCGCAGGCTCAGTAGTTGTGGCTCACGGGCCCAGTTGCTCCGTGGCATGTGGGATCTTCCCAGACCAGGGCTCGAACCCGTGTTCCCTGCATTAGCAGGCAGATTCCCAACCACTGCGCCACCAGGGAAGCCCTATTTTAAATCTTATTCGTTGTTTTTCAAATAATTTGGGGGTTACCTTCTTTCACTCCACCAAGAAAGTATTTTGCATATTTGATGCATACATGACCGTGCTTATTTATTTATTTATTTATTTATTGCAGTACGCGGGCCTCTCACTGTTGCGGCCTCTCCCGTTGCGGAGCACAGGCTCCAGACGCGCAGGCTCAGCGGCCACGGCTCACGGGCTCAACCGCTCCGCGGCATGTGGGATCTCCCCGGACCGGGGCACGAACCCGTGTCCCCTGCATCGGCAGGCGGACTCTCAACCCCTGCGCCACCAGGGAAGGAAGCCCCTGGATCATGATCTCTTATTGGTGGACACTGCTTTTGGTCTTTTGCTGTTATGGGCCATAGTATGGTGAATAGTCTCATATAGACTTCTCTGTTGGTGGGCGTGTTTTATTTTGAAAACAAAGCCACTGGCTAAGTTCTCCTCTTTTCCAGTCACTACAGTTAATAGCTGGAGATGTTTAGTCTGAGTGTAGTCTGAATGGTCCAATCTAAATTAAATGGAAGAAAGCAGCATATGTCCACCATGCCTCCCCCATGGAGGGTCGCTGTAAGGGCTGGTGTTTCAAAGGCTCGCGAGGGTGTGGTTTTGGAAGAGACCTTCTCCAAGTCTTAGACTCCCCCAGATAAGGATGCAGACATCAATAAAACCTGCCAAGCAGTATCTGGACAGTGTGTGGAGTGGAGTAACAGAATCCTGTGTGAGTAGACTGACAATGCTGTCTTCCCAAGTTACGGCAGATAGGTCTGATCCAATTGATTTGTCATGTCAGTAAGTACCAGACTTGAGCCAGTTTTAATATTTTTCAAAGAATCTGAGTTATAAAAATTAACATAACCTCTGAACTGCTAACAAAAAAATTTAACATTTTTAAGCTTTTTTCCTCACCTGGAGATTTCTGATATTGGAAATATTCAATTTACACATTTCTCTTATAGACACAATTGGGTTTTTGTTTTTTTTTTTTGTCTATAGTAGTTACATCACAAAACTAGGAGCATACTTTTTCAGAAGGTTCAGAAACGACTGTGCCTGGAGATAATCACTATTCTTCCATCTAAGCTTCCATCTCCTGGCCTGAAAGAGGTCTTATGAACTAAACCCTTCTGGATATCTGGACTTTGTCTTACTTGAATTGGTATTTAAGAGAACTTTTCCCCGATGACACAGTGTGTGCCCCATCCCTGACCCTCCCACCCAGGCCTTCAAATAGAGATGGTGATTATGCTCCAACAAGCTGTAGAAATGAAGTGCTTACTTCGGTTATTTTGGCATTGATCACAGCTGTGCTTTTTTTCTGTTTTCAAACTGAGAACATAAGGAATGCCCAGCTGGTTTCAGCCATTCATCCCATCGTTTACTGAGTTTCCCTGTGTGCCAGGGATGGTGCCAAGAAATGAGCGTTCTTGGTGGTGGGCTTGATTCAGGAAGTGAAGCCCAAACTGTTTGGGCAGAATACTCCAGTATCTTACCTTGCCTCGAGTGACTTCCCTGGGATTGAGCAGAGTTGTACATCTGTCCAAACCTTCCTTGAGCCCTTCCTAATTGTAACCTGAGCAACCTTTGTCCCAGGGCCCTGTTTTGAGTGCTTTGAGGGTCTGCTGTTTAAGTGGCACTTCCTTGCGATCAACTGAAGGGAAACTGTGGGTAGAGGGGTTGCCTCAGTTTCAGTGATCGTTCCTGGTCTTCAGTTTCAGGTGTGGCAGAGGGCGGCCAAGGATAGTTGAAAGAGCAGGTGGACGGAGTGTTGGGGGTTCAACTGTGGCCCTGGTTCCACCTGTTTCTAAGCAGAGCATGCCCCTCACCTCCCTGGGTTTCACAAAATAAAAAGCTGGACCAGATGCTTTCCGGGAATCCTTACAAAGCCTAACATTCTAGCGCTCCACAGCCGAGCATAAAAACCCACCTCATTTCTTCACACGTTCCTTGTGAGTTCCTGTGAAGGCAGGAGCTGTTTATTCAACTACAAACCCAGTGCCCAGCACACAGTGGGAATGTGATAAAGACTTGAGTGAGTTATAAGTAAATTTCAAAAAAAAAAAAAAAAAAAGAGTATTTTTACCCCACCTCTGCTCCCATCCAGAGGAAGTTCCTGTCATGGAATTAATTCTTCCTTAAGGAAACCAGTTCTTCTATAGAAAATCTTCAGTGTTGGGATTTTCTTTTCTTTTTTAAAATTTTCCTGGCGTAGAGTTGATTTACAATGTTGTGTTGGTTTCAGGTGTACAGCATAGTGATTCAGTTATACATATATACATATTCATTCTTTTTCAGATTCTTTTCCCATATAGGTTATTACAGAATATTGAGTAGAGTTCCCTGTGTTACACAGTAGGTCCTTGTTGATTCTCTGTTTTATATATAGTAGTGTGTGTACGTTAATCCCAAACTCCTAATTTATGCCTCCCCACTACGTTTCCCCTTTCGTAACCATGTTTGTTTTCTAAGTCTGTGAGTCTGTTTCTGTTTTGTAACTAAGTTCATTTATATCATTTTTTAAAATTAGATTCCACATATGAGTGATATTATATGATATTTGTCTTTGTCTGACTTGCTTCACTTAGTATGATAATCTCTAGGTCCATCCATATTGCTGCAAATGGCATTATTTCATTCATTTTTATGGCTGAGTAATAGTCCATTGTATATATGTACCACATCTTCTTTATCTGTTCCTCTGTCCACGGACATTTAGGTTGCTTCCCTGTCTTGGCTATTGTAAATAGTGCTGCAGTGAACATTGGTGTGCACGTATCTTTTCGAATTATGGTTTTCTCCAGATATATGGCCAGGAGTGGGATTGCTGGATGATATGGTAGTTCTATTTTTAGTTTTTTAAGGAACCTCCGTACTGTTCTGCATAGTGGTTATACCAATTTACATTCCTACCAACAGTGTAGGAGGGTTTCCTGGTACTTTCTTTTCAATGTGTGTGTGTGTGTGTGTGTGTGTGTGTGTGTTTTCTACACATTCACTTAATACATAGTTGATTAGGCTAATTTAAAATTCATTTAAGAAAGTTTAGTTATAAAATATGTTCCCTCGTAATATCCATAACAAACTGAAGATCTGAAATATTTTACTTTGAACTTTAAGTAAAGTATGCCAATAATTTTATCTTTTAAAGGTAGTGATACCAAATATAGCAAAAGTTGAGCGTTTTTTTCCTCAGAAATGAAGTAAGTATATAAAATTACACATTGTTGCCTTTGGCCCTGACCTAGGAGCAAATAGACTGAAAAGCATGGTTTTCTTTATTGTGGGATATTACCCAGGCAGAAGTTAAGCAAATTTGACTGGTAAACTGTTTGGAGGAAAGCTAGCACTTTTTAAGATGCATTTTTTGGCGGGGCGGGGGTGGGGGGTGTGGGGAGACACCAATTATAGAATTTATTAAAGGCTTACAAATTTTTTTTTCTAAAGTGAAATACTGCATGCCAAAATTTTAAATGTTGGTAAATGCAGACAAATCGAAAATCCGTAAAAAGTTTCAAACACTTCTTGTGGCTTTATCCAATCACAAACGCTGTTAGCAATTTTATATAATTTCTTTCTCACAATAATTCTCACTAAATGATTCTCTAATTATTCACTAATAATTTCTCACTAAATAATTTCTTTGGGGCGCCCTCTTTTAACAAAGCACGAATGGCATCCTGCTTTTGTGTAGGTCCCTGATCTAGGTACTGTGTTTTACATGTCACTCGTCAATTCACTCATCCATCCTAAATATTATTTTCTACCCACCACCTAATCAATGATCACATGCCCTCCTTAGCCCTGCCATAAGCATGCAGGTTATCTGAGACCGTGCATACACACCCCCAGATATCCTGGTGAAATTAGCTTTTATGCTGTGTCAACTTGTGTGGAATTTTCTTACGACCACTATGTTCTCTGAAAGGTTTAAAATGTACTCTAGAACACAGGCAAGGTGTGAAATCAGGTTTTCAACAGGGCACAAAAGCCACGACTAGGTGAGTCAGGAGAGGGGCCAGTATCTGAGCCTCCATGAATTGAATTAAGGTAATAATTACTTCAACAGTAATGATTAACAGGAAAGTGCTTTGGAAGGAATCTCAGGAATCTATAGTGTAAAGCGCAAAGCATTCTGATGATCTCTTTTTGATAAGGTGCTGTGGTCCCTGGTCATTAACCGGCCTGCTCTTCCCTCCTGTAGTGATGAATCACCAGCACCAGCAGCAGATGGCACCCAGTTCCCTGAGCCAGCAGAGTCACCCTCCTCAGAACCCACCAGCAGGGCTCATGAGTATGCCCAACGCGCTGACCACACAGCAGCAGCAGCAGCAGAAGCTTCGGCTTCAGAGGATCCAGATGGAGAGAGAGAGAATTAGGATGCGTCAAGAGGAGCTCATGAGGCAGGTATGGCCTTCAGTGGGACCTGGTGGAGGCTTCGTGGCCTTTGGTGGCAAGGCTAGTGGGTAGGTATCTACTTGCCATCGCATTCAAAGCCCAAAGTGCTGCTTCCAACTTCCAACATCTATTTGCACTCTCTTGAGAGCCAAACGTATATGAGTACAAAGACTAGCTGTATCAGCATGGCTGCCTGTGGCTTTCACTGCGAATCACTAGAAGGAGAGAAATAATACGTTCCAGTTATTTATTACTGTGTAATACATTATCGCAAAACTCAGTGGCTTGAAACAATAGCCATTGTATTATATCACGCCATTTCGTGGTCAGGAATTGGGGCAGGGCTCAGCTAGACTGTTCTTGTGCTGTACGTGATTTTGACTGAGGTCACTTAGCGGTGGTCGACCGGTGGGTGGGCTGGCCTGGAGGGTCCAAGGTGGGTTTACTCAAGTGTGTGGCACCATGGAAAGGGCTGCTGGAAGACTGAGCACAGCTAGGACTAAAAGCTGGAGTATTTGCCCATGGCATCTCTAGCTTGGCAATCTCAGAGCAGTGGGACGTATTACATAGCAGCTTGGGTCTCCCCAAGAGAATGTTCTGAGAGACAGGAATTGAAAGCTGCCAGGGTCTTGGGGCCTGGCTCTGGAAACTGCCACAGAGTCAGTTCTTCCATATTCTCTTGGACAGAGCAGTCGCAGCACACCCCTCAACCCCCAGTTAGAGCAGATAGCAGAGGGGATGTTCCACGGAAGAGATGACAAAGAATCTGCAACCATCTTTGATCCATCGTGGAGCATGAGAAAAAAGGAAAATGTTTTGCATACAGACTCTGATAGAGTGCTCTGCAAAACCCCCTGGGCTTTGATCAGGCACCTTTGTGCCATTTCCTCATTCAGTCAGTCAGTCAACAGAGTGTGTGTCCTCTGTGAGTCAGGCTCAGGGCCTCACTTCACAAAATAAAGAAAAGAAAATCCACGAAGGAGCCCACAGTTTTCTCCCTGCTTCAGTGGCTTGGTCTGTGCAAAAGCAGAATTCCCTTCTGTGTTGCTAAACTAATGTAGCCCATGCTTTCAGGTCTCATAAATTTTGCTGGCTGCATTGTGGGGAGGAAGGCTTCAGTTTATTGTCTTAATTCTTCAGACTTTGCCTTATGACTCACATGAAGCAAGATACATGGGTAGCTTCCTTTCCATGTGGACGGAAATGAATAGTTTTAACTGTTCCAGAAAGCTTTCTTCCAGGGGGCTGGGGGTATTAGGGTAAACACGATTTTTTCTTTTAGTTATATCTGATACTTTCAAAAATATACATTGACTGCCATAGGTAAATAATGTATTTCTCGTCAAATAAATTCTAAAATATAAAGTATCTACACTGTGTGAAGTTTAAAAAACATGATGAATTAAAAGAATTCCTTATACATAGCCTTTGAAAATGTGGGAAATGAATATAAATTGTGCTTTGCTGTTCTGTTGAACTATCCTCTAAATTTGAGGAATACAACTTTGTAATATAACCATGGTTGTGCTTTTTTTACCCTGAGGATTTATGTCTGAACTTTCACGGTTATTTCAGGGTAGCATTTGTTTATACTGTTTTTAGATATACAGTATCATGTTTCTTAGCAGGAAATGATTGTATTATGGTTTTCTGTCTTTGGACAATAATTCTATTTGGAATAATTTATCTATTTTATAATATAGAGTAATATAAATAGTATTATAGTAGCATTTATAAGTTTTAATGTTTTTTTTTCCCCCCGCAAAGAATGACTTGTGTCTCAGTTTCTGCCTCATTCTGTGTTTCTCTTTCTCCTACCCCACCTCCTCCTTTCCCACAGAAAGTATTTCTGAAAAGGGGTGGAGAAAAGTGCCCCAAATTGTTTCCTTTATTCCAACCATAGGTGCCTTTGAACCAGAATGTTAGTATTGATGGTTCATATTACAGAAATACCAACCAAGTTCCTTAAATGCTGATCCCTAGAGGCTGTGGAACTTGGAGTATTTTGCTGCATGACAGCGTCGACTCCACTGTACAGGACCTCGGGGAGGAACGCTGTCCAGATTTGCTCCCAGAGGCTCCTGTAGTTCAGCTTTGAACGTGCGAGCGTGTGTGTGTGTGTGTGTGTGTGTGTGTGTGTGTGTGTGTGTGGTTAGAGGAGGAGAAAAAGATGGAATGGATTGTTCTGATGTCTTTTTATCTTTATTATGGATACAGGAAAAAAGGTCTAAGACTTTTTTAAGTCGTGGCAGACGTGTTCCTCATCCAGAAGCAGTCTGATACTCAGGGTCAAAGATATTATTTAAGGCCATACAGTAAATGGTGTTGGAGTGTTTGATGACAGTGGCATTTGCCAATATGTCTGATTGTTCAGGTGTGGATTAGTAGATTATGTGTATCACCTTTGTGGGTTTTTTTTTTTACCTCTTTCTTTTGGTGCTTTGCACTTAAGCCCCACTGTTTGCACTTAAGCCAGGGTGGGGCAGGGAAATGGATTGGAAGTAAAAGTGATATTTGGCTCACCTGTTTAGCTGCCTTCCAGCACCTGGTAGGAAGGTAGAGGGACGGAGGCAGTGGTGGTCCTGATGAGCTCTGAAGATTGTCCGTTCCATTTGTTCTTTCTGTCCCACTCCCTGTTCTACGTAGTCAGCAACTTCCTGAATATCCTTTGCTTTCTGGGCACTTTGTAATTCCCCTGGCCTTCCTCTAGTTTGCAGGCGGGCCCTAGCTGTCCAGCCTGTCTTCTTGAAGTCCCTGCCCAGCAAGCAGGCCCTGACCTTCCTATCAGGGGAGAATTTCTGGGAGAGAGGCCCCTTCCTAGGCTCCATCTTTATGATAGGAAAGGAGGTTGGTAAATTTTAATAAGTAGAATGAACTTGTTCCTAATTCTTGGGAAGTCATCAGTACTCTGTATTTTTTTTTTTTTTTGCGGTACGCGGGCCTCTCACTGTCGTGGCCTCTCCCGCTGCGGAGCACAGGCTCCGGACGCGCATGCTCAGCGGCCATGGCTCACGGGCCCAGCCGCTCCGCGGCACGTGGGATCTTCCCGGACCGGGGCACGAACCCGCGTCCCCTGCCTCGGCAGGCGGACTCTCAACCACTGCGCCACCAGGGAAGCCCATTACTCTGTATATTTTTATCATTGTTAAATATATGATAAATGTGAAAGGTCCTTATAAGTTATATGCCATGTAAATATTGTTGTTGTTTTTTTTTGTCCGGTACGCGGGCCTCTCACCGTCGTGGCCCCTCCCGTTGCGGAGCACAGGCTCCGGACGCGCAGGCTCAGCGGCCACGGCTCACGGGCCCAGGCGCTCCGCGGCATGTGGGATCTTCCCGGACCGGGGCACGAACCCGCGTCCCCTGCATCGGCAGGCGGACTCTCAACCACTGCGCCACCAGGGAAGCCCCTAAATATTGTTTTCTTTTTCCTTTTTCTTCTTCTTCTCCTCCCGCTTCTCTTTTCTGTTTCTGTGCCATTGCTCCTCTAGACATGTAGTCTGATGTTGTGCTGTGGAGAAAACAATTCCTCGGTTCTCGTTCCACAGTCTGACGTACACCTCACAATGCCAAGGGCTCAGATGTTAACTTGTCACTGAAATCATGCCGGAGATATTAACAAATGAAGTTGAGGAAGGTCTGATTACAGATCTGAAGTGAACCTCCATTATTTCAGGATGGAAAATTATTTTTCTTCATTCCTTCTTTTATCTCTTCATTTGTTTATTCACCCAACATTTATGTTGTGGGAAATAATAAAAAGATAAGTGGGACATGGCTGCCTTCAGATAACTTACATTTTAGCAAAGGAGACAAAATGATGAACTCTAATCCAGATTGGTGGCCAGAAGGATAAATTCAAACCATTCCCTACTTTGTGGGGTCCCAGTGGCTGCCATCTTTCACTTTCATAGCTGGAGCAGGGACCAGATGCACCAGAGCCCAGAGTTCTGTGAAAATGAGCATAAGGTGCTTCTTTCTTTCTTTTCTTCGTTCCCACAGGCCAACAGGTTGTGGAATAGCTACAGAACCCGGATCAAAGGGCCAGTGAGGTTTGGTATCTCCCCTGATTAGGAATCTTTTGAAGTAGGAGGGTTTTGTTAAAAATGATCCCTACAATTTAGCATTGGCTGCTGTAGCAACAGAGTTGAACTGCTTGTATCTGATAATTGATGAATTATCTCAGAATGTGGCAGGTGCTCCAAGGGCAGGGGTGCCACGAGCCCAAGGGGATCCCAGCCAGGTCTGCAGTACATGGCCTTATTAGGAAAGTGGAACTTTCTCTGCTTTCAGCGTCTATCACAGACATTATGGAGAGTGAATTCTCATGAAAGACATTCTCCATTGTCCGTGATAATGAGTTTTATTTTTGCTAAGTTTTCCAAAAAGCCTTGAAGTGGTTTCAGGCTCATCTAAGAAACGGCAACTCTAGAAAAGAAAGCAATTACTCAATTGAAGATGTACTTCCTGCTACCTTCATATTAAAAAAAAAAAGTTAGAATTCAGTTTATGAAGTTTTTTTAAGTAAAAAAATAGTTTTTAACTTTAAAAAATATAATTTAGTAGTTTTTTTGTTTGTTTTCTCTGACTGAGATGAGAGAAAGCATTTTACTAACTAAAAGAATCCAGACTCAAAAGACTTCATAATGGGACTTCCCTGGCGGTCCAGTGGTTACACTCTGTGCTTCCACTGCAGGGGGCACCGGTTCGATCCCTGGTCGGGGGACTAAGATCCCACATGCCTTGCAGTGCAGCCAAAAAGAAAAAGGAAAAAGAAAAAAGACTTCACAATGTATGATTCCATTTATATGACATTCTGGAAAGGGCAAAACTATAGGGACAGAGAACCGATGAGTGGTTGCTACAGTTAAGGATCGGGGAGGGGCTGCCTCCACAGGAGAGGCACTAGGGGGTTTGGGGGGGATGGCACAGTTCTGTGTTTTGCTTGCAGTGGCTGTTTCACAACTGTATTATGTATTTGTCAAAACTTAGAACTGTACAGTTTCACA